TTGCTGTTCAGTGACAATTATTTTGAGTACATTGTTGACCCATTCAGCCAAAGGCAGGATACCTGGAGACAGAGCTTCCCACCCCGGGGACAGTAGGGTGCCTGTCTAAAGATAGCGTGTGGGGATCTTTGCTCTGGAAGATGCCTGCAAAATAAAGCACAAACTGTAGACGGAACCAGCAGCTCCTGTGACTTCGGTTTGTGAACCAACACTGCCCCCTGCTGGATGCTGGACCTGCAGCAGGTTACTTAACCTTTGCATCCCCCAGACGGAAAACCGGACTGCCGTGGAGATGAAATGGGTAAATGCAGAAGAAAACTCCAGCAGCTGACGGACAGTGTTGTCACAGTAGTGATTATTGTTGTACCAGTCACCCCCACATCCATTTATAAGATCGCATTACAAACCACCACTCTTGTATGCCACTAATGCCTCCGTGGGACGAAGAGTCTAGTCTGCACTGAAGAGTGTGATCTGTCTTACTGTCATTTCAAAGTGTGGACTACAAGAATAATGACCAATAGGATTGGAGAGATGGTACATAACAGGTACTTAATATACACATAAAATACATAAATCCCCAAAAAACAAACCTACCACAGCAAATAGAAATTAAGGAATGCATTCTCAGTATGTAAATATATGTGTGTTTGGATAGAGAGGGAGATAGGTAGATTGATGATAGGTAGGTAGGTAGGTAGGTAGGTAGGTAGATAGATAGATAGATAGATAGATAAGATAGATTAGATAGATTAGATAGATAGATAGATTAGATAGATAGATAGATAGATAGATAGATAGATAGATAGATAGATAGATAGATAGATGGTAGATAGATAGATGATAGATAGATAGATAGATAGATAGATAGATAGATAGATAGATAGATACTCTCTTTCTTAGTCCCATAACCACTATCTTCATGGAGAAACATTAGAAGCATCTCCCCCTAAGAGGGGCACAAGACAGAGTACAACTATATTTCCACTACTCATAAAGACTGTCTTGGAGATAGTAGCAATGTAATTAGATAGGACCCATATGTGGATGAGAGACTCAGCAGTTTGTAAAGAAGTAAAACTCTCTCTCTCTCTGCAGATGTTGTGGTATATATACACACATATATTTATGTTATAAATATATTATATATATTTAGGTATACTGGAATGGAGGAAGGTCCTCTCTTAGTCTGCTTCTCTATTGCTGTGATAAACCTCGTGATCAAGAACAGCTTGGAGAACAAAATTGTTTATGTGGCTCACAGGTCCTAGTTCATCAAGGGAAGCCGAGGCAGGAACCTGAAGGCAGGAACTGAAGCAGAGACCCCAGAGGCACACTGCTTACTGGCTTGCCTTTTTATACAACCCAGAACCACCTGCCCAGGGCTGACCATGTCCATCGGTTATAATCAAGAAGACGCCCCTCCACCAGACATGCCCATGAGGCAATCTGGTGGAGGCAATTCCTCCGTTGAAGTTCCCTCTTCCCAGGTGACTCAAGTTTGTGTCAAATTGATGAAACCCACCCAGCACAAGTACTAAGGCCTTTACAGGATGGTGCACAGATCAGTTTACTTTCCTACCAAAACCTTACCTCAGTAGTGTGTAGAATAATAGAGAAATCTCCACTTACAGCAACATAGAAAAGTAATAATTTAGCAAGTTATGCACACACACACGTAAATACAGATATGGAACACACTGAAAAAGCCAAAGACAAGCTTAAAAATTGTCAAGCTATCCCCCTTTCTAGCCTAGGGTGGCTCATCAGTTTTTCCAAAATGACTGAGAAAAGCACAAACGGGCTTTTAATAAAGTTAGACAGGCTGACAGTAAAGCTCAAATGGAAAAACTATTGTTTAAAATGGCCAGAAAATCACTGGGCAGGGGGCGGACAGAAATTGCAAAGGGGCTGGTCCTGCAGGACATCCAAACACAAACTGTTTCAGCCTCTCATTAAAACAGCATGCTGATGTTGTACAAGGAGATGAGCAGGAAGCCCAGGCAGAGCCCCAAGGTGTGTGGCAGGGGGAATTACTCCATGATAAAGGAGACATCTCAGACCACCACGGCTAAGATGGACTTCCTAGTAAATGGTGCTGAGACAATCGGTAGCCACATTGTGGAAAAATGGACTGATTACTTCTAAAATTTTTTTTTTTTGGTTTTTTGAGACAGGGTTTCTCTGTGTAGTTTTGCGCCTCTCCTGGAACTCGCTTTGTAGACCAGGCTGGCCTCGAACTCACAGAGATCCGCCTGGCTCTGCCTCCCGAGTGCTGGGATTAAAGGCGTGCGCCACCACCGCCCGGCCTAAAAATTTTTAATGAAGAACTGTATGTGCCAGATTTGATCATCTTTTCTTGGATGTGGCATTGAAGATACAGAGTTGACATTCTAGCCCAGTCCTTAGCGGGCCATCGTCTCCTTGCCTTTCTCAAGGGATGTCCAGTTATCAAAAAGGTACCCAATTGTATTTAACGTATCACTAACACGATGCTTACAGGAAACAAAAATCAAGGGTATTAGAAATCCTCATTTTAAAGGGTGTTTGTTGGTGAAGTAATTACCCCAAAGATCTAACTCAGTGGTTCCACTTGCCAGGAAGTGGTCCCTGGGTGCTGCACTCTGAAAATGCACAGAAACATGTAGAAACCTGGGCTCCCCTTTTAGAGGTTCTTGGTCTCGAGGACTTTTAGTAAGTGTCTCCCATCCTCCAACCTGTTCCCCAGGGCTGACACACTGTTGGGTGTGGGAACCACTGTGCTCATCCCTACACTCTGACCTAGGGGGGAAAAAAAAACACTTATTAATCAGCCCAGATCAGGGGGCTTCTCTCAGATTCTCAGGAAAGAATGCTCCCTGGGTTTCCTGCCACAGTTGTTCAACCTGTCTTCAAGGCAGGTCTCCCCTGCCCTAATCACAGAGAAAGGATGAGCCTTTGCTCGCTGGCTGGCGGGAGCACTTTCCCACAGCCCTCAGGAGGACAGAGGGTCTTCTTGAGTGGCACCTCGGGAATGTGTGCAGCCCCTCAAAAGCCCCCACCACCCTGTGGGGAGGGAGGGACCTCGCTGGTTTATGGCTGAGGAGGAAGTCAGCTGCCAATGGCAGCTCTTTCCTTCACCCTCCTGGTGTCCTGGAATCTTCAGTCTAGCCAGGGATTGAACACTTGACCTAATCCAGCCTGCAGCCACGCATTCTCTGCAGGAGAGTGACCTGCAAAGCCCTGTTTCACCCTCACTCAGTTCTAAACATGAGCAGGAGCAAAACGAATTATTACATATTTATCTCAATTCGGACCAACGCCATTTTCATTTACAGCTGTTGGGAATTACCATAGTGCTAATAAAATATTCTGATCCGAGAGAATTCCAGGAAACATGGCTTCTTTTAATGAAGCACATGAAAAAAGAAAGGGAAAATTTTTTCAGTGCTCCTCTTGAGCATCTAGGTCCATGTTTTGTTTCATGGACCTAGATGTTTCATGTTTACTATTTTTATTGCATTTTTCATTTTGTGGGTGGGTGGCCAAAGTGGGGTGTGCACATGCCACAGCACGCATGTGGGGGTCAGAGGGCAACCAGTAGATGCCAGATCTTTCCTACTGCCATACAGGTCCTGGGCCTCAAACTCAAGGTTTCAGACTTGGCAAAAAAAAAAAAAAAAATCTTTGCCCACTGAGATATCTTGTTTCACATTTTCAAAAGTCCAGACACTAACATAGAATTTAATGTGTATGAAGATGTGCAGCTGAAAGGTCCTATGTGGACATGCGGACTTCATCTGACCACTGACAACAAAGGAGCCCAGGCAGACACAGGAAATGACCCTCATGAACTGGAATACACAACTATATGCAACACATCAACACGCTCACTCCCCTGCCACCAAGGTCATAAGGTCACTGCTGGCAGATTTCTCACTCGTGATTCTCTCCTTATAAATTGGGTTGATTCCCAACATGTTACTGTTTTCCAGCAATGTGAAGCTGCTTTGGGGAAAGGCATGTTCCTTTTATCCTTTTTGAAGGTATGCCTTGAGCAAGATCTTTTTCACCACAAGAGGAGGGGCTTGTTCGTTGGTTGGTTGGTTGGTTGGTTGGTTGGTTGGGGGTTTTGGTGGTTTGAATAAGATTGGTGCCCATAGGCTCACATAGATGAATCCTCGGTCATCAGCTACTTCTTAAGCACCATGTCTGCCTGCATGCCGCCGTCCTTCCCACCATGATAATGATGGACTAAGACTCTGAAACTATAAGCCAGCCTCAATTAAATGCTCTCTTTATAAGAGTTGCTATGGTCATGGTGTCTCTTCACAGCAACAGAATACTAATTAAGACAGGGATTTTTTGTTTATTATTGTTGGTTGATTTGGGCTTTTTAATAGATTATTTGTGTGTGTGTGTGTGTGTGTGTGTGTGTGTATGTGCATGTGTGTGTGTGCAAGTGTATAAATGTATGCTGTGTGTGCAGTGCCCATGAAGGCCAGAAGAGGGTGTCAGATCTCCAGGAGCTAGAGCTGGGAACTGAACTCAGGTCTTGTGGAAAAGTAGCAAGTGCTCTTACCCACAAACCATCTCTCCAGCCCTTTCTCTTCTTTTTTGAGACAAGAGCTCACACAGCCTAGGCTGGCCTCAAACTCACTATGTAGTCAAGGATGGAAGAGATACCATATTTTCTCTCTCAAATTATTCATGTACCTGAAATTACAAAGTACATTGAGTGGATGTTATTAATGCTACTCAGGGTTCATGCTACCAGGAACAGTGAACTCTACTTGCAAATTAGTTGATTTTCTCTGAACGGCATCCAGAAGGGCAGAACATGCCTGACGCTGGGTACCCCAGACTCCGTAGCCCATGGAAATTACAGCAAGGGTTTCAGACACTCTCTCCCTTCAGTTCTCAGTTTGGCCATGCCCTATCAGTAGCTGTTTTCCAGAATGTTCAGATCACAGCACAGCACAGCCAACATATAAACTTCTAATCCATGGGCATGTACTTACCTTCATTCACCACATCTCTCCACATAACCAGCTTATCAGCTGCTCTGGCATCTTCTTTTGATAAATATTTTGGATCGTTAGAAAAGACCTGCAGCAGGATCTCATCTGAAGAGAAGCAAGTGTAAGCATGTTAACACCAGCAATGCACGGGTAAATCTTGCTCTATACGTACGCAGCGTGTCCACGGATGAGTGAATGAATGACTCAGACTCGGCGGATGCAGGATGCTCAGCTCTAAGATGATTGCACCAGATATGCATCCCGGGCAGGGATGTCTAGAAATTCTGTCCCAGGCCTCATATGTGGAGATACAGCTTCCCTTCTCATTCCTGGTATCATTTGTACCCTCCCATTAGACTCCCCCCACAGAATGACACATAAAAATAGGGTGAAGGCTACAAGTCAGAAATAAGGCAAAACATGTTAAAAAGTCACGAAGAGCTTATTTACAAAACTCTTACTAATAGGGATGGCGAGATGCCTCAGTGGTTGAGTTCACTGGCTGCTCTCCTGGAGGAGCTCGGTTAGATTCCCAGCACTCATGTATTGGCTCACAACTTGTAACACCTAGTGCCCTCTTCTGGCCTCCTTGGGTACTGCATGCATGTGGTCCGCAGACAAACATGTAAGCAAACACATAACATGAAATAAAAACACATCTTTTTTAAAAACTGGTATTAATGTTTTGGGCTTAGTGAGATTTCTTTAATATTTAGTGTCTCCTTTTAACACTTGAAGGTGTCTTTCCCTGGAATGTGGCCATCTTACCCCTTTCCTAGGCTTTATTCACTAAATCACAGAAAACAACCATCAAAAATCCCATTCACTCCCCACATGCTCTGAGACCATTCCCAAGGGATATTGTGCACGTGTGCGTGTGTGTGTGTATTTACTTTCTTCCTTTTTTATTAATCCTTAAAGATTTTCAAAGTTTGGATTTTTAAAATTTTTATTTAAATTTTTTTTCATATATTTTGAATATACTCTTTCCTCTCCCCAACCCCTCCCAGATTCCCCCTACCTCCCTACCCACTCAACTTCATGTTCCTTCTCTTTCAAAAAAGAAAAAAAATGAAAACAACCCAAAAAAATGAAAGTCAAAACAAACTTTAAAAAAAGAAATCATGGGGCTGGAGAGATGGCTCAATGGTTAAGAGCAGTGGCTATTCTTCCAGAGGACCTGGGTTCAATTTCCAGCACCCACATGGCAGCTCACAACTGTCTGTAACTCAACTTCCAGGGGATCTGACACCTTCACACCAATGCACATAAAATGAAGTTATATAAATTAAAAAAAAATCATTTAAAAAAGAAATCAATAAGAAAAAATACCAAAACAAAATAAAAAGGGTAACAAAAATGAGGTCCATTTTGTGTTGGTCGATTGCTCCTGGGCATGGGACCTGCCCTGAAACATGGCTGATATACTCAGTGACACTTTATTGGAGAAAATTGATTTTCCCTTTCCGAGCAGGTATCAATTGCAAATAGCTTCTTGGTTAGGGATAGGATGTCTACCCCCCCCCCTTGTCTGTGCTGGGGTTTTGTCTGGTTTGAACTCGTGCAGGCCTCGTGTGTGCTGTCACGGTCTCTGTGAGTTCACATGTACATCAGACCTGCTGTGTCTGGAGAACACCATTTCCTCAGAGTCCTCCACCAGCTGACTCTTACAATCTCTCTGCCTCCTCTTCTGCATAGACCCCTGAATCTTGAGGGGAGGGGTTTGATAAAGACACCCCATTTAGGGCTGAGTGCTCCGAAGTCTCTCACTCTGCATGTTGTCCAGTTGTGAGTCTCCATCAATTACCATCTAAGTCTCCGTCAATTACCATCTAAGTCTCCGTCAATTACCATCTAAGTCTCCGTCAATTACCATCTATTGCAAGAAGCAGCTTCTCCGATGAGGTTTAAGTGATGCTCATGGGTACAGCAATGTCATTAGGAATCATTTTATGGCAATGTTCCTTTATCAGAATAGTAGGAGGTTTTTTTTCCTAGGCCCATGACCTACCTAGTCTCAGATTCTTGGCCACTTTAACAGTGTCAAGTATGGGTTCCATCTCATAGAGTGGGCCTTAAATCCAACCAAAGAGTGGTTGGATACCCCATAACATTTGTGCCACTGTTACACACTATATCTTGCAGGCAAGTCTCTGTTGTAGGCCGCAGAGCTCGTATCGGAGTGAAACTGATGATTTATTTTCTCCTCCGGTGGCATGAAAAGCACCACGAACACTAGTCTGTGGGGGTACAACTTCTAGTTGGGCAGTTTCTCCATGTTTGATGACATCAGTAAGCTGTATCTTCAGAAAAGGGCCTTACCAACATGCTATAGAGAGTAACCAATAGCCTTGGAAATGGCCTGCAATGTTTGAGGGGTTATCTATGGGACCTCTTTAGCCAACAACTCAAAAATATGTAACCCATTCCTGACACTGGAGTTTTTACTTGAGGACATGTCTAGTTGAAGCACTGTCTCCCCCTTTATATGGTAATTCCATTTAAATTACATATATATATATATATATATATATATATATATATATATATATATATCCTAATTAGTCTTAACAATAAAAACCTGGTGTCAGATATCGAGGGTGAAAGCTGAAAGAGCAGAGCAGAGCAGAGCAGCAGCCACCAGAGAGTTCTTACCTCTACAAATCCTTAGATCGAATGGGGGAGCCTGTCTCTGAATCCTCAAACTGAATGGGGCCGAGATCCTGTCTCCATCCATCTTACATTCTTGTCTCCACCTCTCGATGCTGGGATTAAAGGCACGAGCCTCCCAAAGGCATGAGCCTCCCAAAGGCATGAGCCTCCCATGTGCTGAGATTAAAGGCATGCACCACCACTGCCCAGCTCTGTTTCTCTTTTAGACTGGTTCAATCTTGTATAGCCCAAGGGTGGCCTTGAACTCCTGATCTTCCTGCTTCCTCCCCCAAAGTGCTGGGATTAAAGGCATGCACCACCACTGCCTGGCCTCTATGGTTAACTAGTAACTAGCTCTGCCCTCTGATCTCCAGGCAAGCTTTATTTGTCAGAACACAAAATATTCAAACATCATATGTATATATTTTTAAAAGCTTCTACAGTAGAGGGTTTCCACATGGCTTTTAAAAAGGCTTTAGCATTAATTCTCCTCCTCCTTTTCCCCCCTTTACCCTGCCCTCCCACCCCCCTCCCCATTTAATTCTCCTCCTCTAGTTTCTCCTTTCTCTCTATAATACTACACTTTCCCTTCCTTGGAAGATCCCCTCCTCCCCCTGACTCCTTACTAGGTCCATAACCTCTGTGGTTATTTGAACTGAAACACACATTTTTAAAGCTTAAAACATTCACATACGAGAGAAAACATGCAGTACTTGCCCTGGTGTCATCTCTTGATGGCACAGGGTGAACACCAGGGATGAGCCATCAGATTCACCATGACACCAGCAAGTCCTCACCATGTCCTTTCAGAAGCATCCAGTGCCCCATGAGTCCCCTAAATATTATTCAGAATGCCGGGTGTAGCAGTGTCTTTAATCCCAGCACTTAGAAATCAGACATAGGCGCATGTCCGGAAATCTGAGGTCATCCTGGTCTACACAGTGAGCTCCAGGCCAGTCAGGGCTCCATAGTGAGACCCCGTCTCAAAACCAAAAACAAACAAACAGCAACAAATACATATTGCTCATAGAGAAACCAACAAGCCGAGGGTTGCCCACCACTGTCAAGGCCAGTGTGGCACAATGCTTGATCAGTCAGCAGCTGTCTGGGGGGGATGGCATCTTCCCTGCCTGGAGGCAGGGGCTCATCTTCACATGTCCGCACTAGGCTCTTACACACAGGGGGGGCTTGCTGCAGGGACACTGGAAGAGGAAAGATTTTTGGGTTCCAAGACAGTGCTGCGGAAACTCCAGGGCTAGCTATACCTACGCACTCACCTGGTCACAGCCACCGGCCAGTCAGGCCTCGAATTCAGTCGGGGGACTTGGTGTATATGAACTAACTGAAGGTTCTGATATCACGTGTACAAGGGAAGTCAGCTCACAGACCCTGACATTGGACAGCTCCCGAAATAAAGGGTTATCATATGTTGCAAGAAACCCTGGCCCTTACAAGCAGGCACTGTCTAGAATTAGAATGTGTCTGACTAGCAGCCCTCAGCAGAGGGACACTTCCCAGCTTGCTCTCCCAGGAGCTGTTTTTTGAAGTTGATTTTATTATTGTTGTTGTTGCTACTATATGTTGTACCTGACTGAAATGATGTGCGTCACATATGTGCAGGAACCCTCAAAGACCAGAAGAGGGCACCAGAGCCCTTGGAGCTGCAGTTGCAGACAGTTGTGCGTGGTCATGTGGGTGCTGGGACCTGAACCCCATTTCTCCAGCTCCTGGGCACTTTCTCTACACCAAGGGCATCTTTGGATTGGCAAATGGACCCCAATGCATTTCAACACGGATCACCTTCATGTTATCCTGGTTGGCACCTGCTCAGCTGCTTATGTGCCATTCTTCAGGTCTTTCATCAGATTTGGGCAGTTCAGTAAGATGCACCTGCCCCTGCCTCCTGAGCGCTAGGATTAAAGGCACGTACCGCCGTACCCAGTTGGCCCAGCTGCCCTCTATCTCTTTCTGAGATCTGCTTTGTAACTCGACATGCTTGATGGTATCCCGTCATGTCCTTACGTTGCATTTTCTTATCACTGTTTGTCTTTCTACTCTCCAGACTGGATCTTATCTCAGTATCTTATCTTCAAGTTCGTTGACCCAATTTCTGTCTATTCAGAACTGCTGGTGAACCCTTCTAAAGAGTTTTCTCTTCTGATATTTTTTAACTTCACAATTTCCCTCAGGCCCTCTCTCTTTCTCTCTCCTCCCCACCCCACCCTCACCTCTGGTGTTTTGAGACAGGGCCTTATTTTAACGGCCTAGTGCTGGAACTTTAACACAGGCACACCCTGTGCCCCCCTCCATCCACCAACCTCTGTTTCAGCCCCCCAAGATGGGGTTACAGACATGAAGTAGCAGTTTCCATTTCCTCCTTATGGATATTCTCACTCCATTCATACACCGCTTTTCTAGTTTTCTCCTTTCTGGGTGGTTTCCCTCATTCATTCAGCCTATTGCAGCCAGCTCCAGGCTAACAACTCTTTCCGTGTGCAGGCCTCCTCAGGGAGTGCTTGCATCCAATTCCCTTTTCCTATGAATGGACCACGCCTGCCTGTTTCTTCGTGTGCTTTGTAATTTGATGTTGAAAGTGAACATTTGAGGAGCTGTAACTCTTGAAACGCAATCTCCCCCACTTCCCAGGGACTGCTGGTCCCTGCCTGCTTACAAGGGCTAAGACCGTCCATTTGCAAACTATCGTAACGTGTGTTCCTAAGTGTGGGTGATGGGTCCTGTGCCTGTTTTACAATCTCTGAGGTCAGCCAGTGCCTGAGCAAGATGTCCTTAAGTTCCTATCTTCCCAGAGAAGAAAAAGGTCTTATTTATTATTTATGTGTAGGGTGTGTGTGTGTGTGTGTGACTGCAGGCACACCTGTAGACAGCACAAGTGTGGAGGTCAGAGGTTAGCTCTGTGGAGTCAGATCTCCTACTTTTACACGGGTTCCAGGACTGAAAACAGGTCACCACACCCACGTTGCATGCACTTTGAACTGCTGAGCCATTTTGCCCACCCTATACAGCTATATAGTCTCTCTCTCTCTCTCTCTCTCTCTCTCTCTCTCTCTGTCTCTGTCTCTTCCGAGACAGGGTTTCTCTATGTAGGTTTGGTGCCTGTCCTGGATCTCACTCTGTAGCCCAGGCTGGCCTCAAACTCAGAGAGATCCGCCTGGCTCTACCTCCCGAGTGCTGGGATTAAAGATTTGGGGTGTGTGTGTGTGTGTGTGTGTGTGTGTGTGTGTGTGTGTGTGTGTATGTGTATACAAGTGTGTGCACACACGCATATGCATGCATGAGTGCAGGTGCCCACAGAGGCCAGAAGATGTGGATCCTCATGGAGCTGGAGTTACAGATGGTCATGAGCTGCCTGATATGGATGCTGGGAATCAAACTCAGGTCCTCTGAAAGAGCAGTACCTACTTCTCATGCTAAGCCAGACATCTCTCCAAGCCCACCTCTTTAATCCCTCAGCAGAGTAGTTAGGAAGCCTCTACAGCCGTAGAGCATTACAGTACAGTACACTCAGGTTGTCCCAGCCCTTCAGTAATCTAAAGCAGCAATCAGATTAAACATAACCCCAAAACCTACCTGCTTCTTCAAGCACTATAGGAATTTGACAAGTCCCTTCCCAAACAACTGCTTAAGACATCTCTCCATTATATGCTAAGTCCATACCGTATAGTAAGGGTAACAATACTCCAACTACACATTACAGGCTATTGGCGATGCTGTTGGTTACCCTCCTCAACCTGGTGGTAAGACCCTATTGCTTTAGACACCACATACTTATGTCATTGGACACAGAGAAATCCAGCTATTGGTCAACTAGAAGCTTCACCCCTACTGGCTAACATTCACGGTGTTGGAAGGTACTATAGACCCTGCCAGAGCAGAAAAGTAATCATCAATCTCATCTATCTATGAAGCCTGCAAGCTACAACAAGGACCTGCCTGCAAGACAGACCTCTGATGTAATATTGGCACAAATGTTATGAGAGTAACTAACCACTTTTTTAAAATGAAACCCTGTCTCGAAAAAAAAAACAAAATAAAAAAATTAAAAAATAGAAGCAAGCTTCTCTGGTGAAGGTTGAGTGATTCGTTGGTCTATGTTTATAGCAATGTATCACTAGGAGACAGGGTTTCTCTGTTAGCTTTGCAGCCTGTCCTGGAGCTCGCTCTGTAGCCCAGGCTGGCACCCTCTCTGAGAAGCAGAGTCCTTTCCCAATGTTTGCATCCCGCTTTCCATTGGTTTTCCTGGGACTCTGACAGAGGAACCGATTCTACCACAAGGCAACCAACATGCTTCCCTTCCCTTTGAAGCAGCCGGAACGAGTTACCTAAGAGACAGCCAAGGGCAAGCAGGAGACCTCTTCAAATACAACCTAAAGTTTTCACAGGAGGAGGTGACTTACCAAATATCTTAGCCAAATGGTCCTCTTGCGTATGTGAACTTGACGCAAACTCAGAATTGTTGAAGCCGTTCAGGTGGAGGTGAGCTGCAGGAAAACAAACTTTAGCTGCACTGAAATCTTCCCTCAAATCTACACCTAGTCTCTCTACAGCCCCACTCCTCTGCAAGGTGCTTCGAGAGGAACAGTTGTGTTCCTGGTGTCTTAGTCACTTTCTTGTTGCTGTGGAAAATTTACATCGGCAAAGGCAACTTAAGGGAGAAGTGATATTTACACTGGCTTGTGCCTCCCAAAGGATGCAGTCTATTATGATGCAGAAGACACAGAGGCAGGAGCAGAATGCTGGCTGGTGACATCACATTCATACTTAGCAAGCAAACAGAGATGAATGCATGCTTGGTGTTGCTCACTCTCTCCACCTTCTACAGTCCAGCATCCTCAGCCCAGGGAATGGTCCCACCCACCATCAATGAATACATTCAAGATAATCCCTCCCAGGGATGCCCAGAGGCCCATCTCTTAGCTGATTCTAGATTCTGCAAAGTTGAGAAGTAACCATCACAGTCAACCTGTGCTCTCTTTGTCTAAGTGGCACAGGGCATCTATGAAGTATCTATGAGTATGTAAAGTCTGAGCCTACAAGGCGGCTCAGCAGATCAAAGCACTTTTGGGCAAGTCGGATGAGTTCGATCTCCGGGACCTACACGGAAGGAGGAGAGCTCCAGCTCCTGAAAGTTGTCCCCTGAATTCCACAGGCAGGCCATAGCCAATTCATGCACACACACACACAAAACAAACAAATGTGTGTAGAAACATTTTCAACAGAGGAGTCTGAAGTTCCACCAGAGAGCCCAGCAGAGGTCATTCCCCACAGTTTCCTGACAGACCATATGCACAGCCACTGAGTGATTTGTGTGTACATGCCGGCTCTAACCGTAGAAGAAAATTGGTAGAAGGGCCTGGGTGGTGGGTGCCAAATGACATCAAGCGGGGCCGCTTTGAGCCAATGAATGAAAAAGGCACCGTTCTCTATTAATGAGACCCGGGAGAATCGTTAGGACCAAATACATCTAATCCTTAAGCACTTTGCTGAAAACATGTCACATTGTATCAACTAAGGGAACATAATAAAACCTGCTGCAGAGCAAGCTAGCAGGATTATGCAGCCCAAGTATTCACATTGGTGCTTTTATTGAGTGGCCATTGAGAAATGCCATTGGCAGGGTCGTTAGTTACAAAACTGCTTTCCTTATAGTGCGATTTCAACACAGCACACGTTTCTGGCTTTATTTTGATAAGTAATGACCCATTTCCAATCTCCCTCTTAATGGAGAGGGCCTTCTCTGTTAGCCACATGATTTAGGGCTGATGGGCATGGAGTTTTTATATTGCTTTCTTCTGTGTATGTGGCCAGCTGTTTTCGCTTAGCTTTAGCATTTGAGAGCTGTGCTGCTCTGGGCAAATAGTTCACAAAGGCTGAGGCAGGAATGCGGTGATGAGGGAATGTGAGAAGGCTTGGCACTCCAGATCAGTAACTTGGGCACTCCTGGGCAGTAAGCTATAAAGTGTGGAGGAAAAGAAATTACAACATTACGCCTAGCTTGTGTTACCAGGGACAGTGAATCCCACTGAAAATTGGATTCCCATCCTTGGCACAGTATCTACAGAGATAGGACCTGCCTGACCCTACACAACAGGGATCATGATGATGATGATGATGATGATGATGATGATGATGATGATAAGCAGGCACAGGCACACTTTAAAGCACAGACCCCCATAGATAATGAAAACCACAGTAAGGGCTTCTGATTTTTCTTTCTTCACATCTCAGCTTGGTAGTGCCCCCACCGACAGCTGGGTCCTAGGATGCTCAAGTCACAGCACACCCAATAAAACACAGCCTATGAAAACACAACAGTTTGAGTCCATTGAGAGGTACTTGCTTTCATTCACGTCTCTCCAGGTGATCAGTCTCCCAGCTGTTCTCGCCTCTTTTGATACATCATCTAGATTGCTGGTGAACACCTGCAGCATGATGTCATCTGAGGAGAAGCAAGCCATGGATGTGTGAGCGAATGACTCAAGCTCAGTGGACGCAGGATGCTCAACTCTAAGATGCCATCACAACACAAAATCATGATCACACCAGATATCCCAGGCAGAGAGCGCCACCCACCGCTCTGCCCCACGTCTGTTTTCCTTCTAGTTCCTGGTGTCATTCTGACCTACCTCTGAGACTGTTCCTAAGTAGCCCCATGTTGTTGGTGGTTGTTTTGCTCTTTGGTCTTTGGGGGGGTCCACCACCCAGTTCCCAAATAAATGTGCACAGAGGCTTATTCTTACTTATAAATGCCCAGCCTTAGCTTGGCTTGTTATGGTGATATTTTATTTGTATTAAAATGTTATTTGTATGTTAATAAATAAAGTTGCCCGGGGGTCAGAGCTATTAGCAAGCCATAGGAAAGCAGGGCAGTGGTAGCGTACGCTTGTAATTCCAGCACTTAGTAGGCAGAGCTGGGTAAGTCTCTGTGTGTTCAGGGATACAGCCATTATTGGATACACATGCCTTTAATCTTAATACCAATCATGGAAAACCTGGAGGCCTATACAGACAGGCTGTGAGGAGGCGGTCATGTGGTTGGGTTTACAACCAATGAGAAGGCAGGACAGGAACTCTATATAAAGACTTTAACAGAGGGGTAGCTCTGGTTCGGAGAGGTAGGACCACTGCAGGAGGAAGGGTAAGGTTTTGGCTCTTGGCTCTGACCTCTTGGCTTTCTTCTTTGCATTGGTTCTGTGTTTATTGTTTGATGGGAAGGTTGGATACATCTACATTTGGCGCCCAACGTGACAAGAATTCATTAAAAACCGATTGGCTTGGCTTGGCGGCAGGTCCGGTTTCCAGCCTGGGCGGCCCGGCTGCCTAGCTTGGGCCCAGGCCTGACTGACCCGCAGCTGGAACTGCTACAAACAACTCAGACCTGCCCCGCTGAACAGGGCCCCTGCCTGTAAAGCCAAGGCTTGACTCGGCTCAAGCGGCTACACTTTCTCTTTCTCTCTCTCTCTCTCTCTCTCTCTCTCTCTCTCTCTCTCTCTCGCTGGATTCACACCTCGAACACCAGGTGGCTGTGAAATTCCCTGGGATTCTACTGTTCTACCCAGACTTGGTAAGTCAATTAACATATCTATTTAAAAGAGAATTTTTTTCTACATTAAAAAAAAAAAATGGGCTTTATGTGTACATTGGAAGAAAATTGGGCTTTGTTTGAAATTTTAGGCACTCTGACAATGGAACAACTATATGAAAAGATTAATATTGATCGAATTATTCAGTTTATTACTTTTCTTATCCTCATTTTACTATTTAAAAAGATCGTCAACTTAAGTGCCAGGATAACAGTCTTAGAAAAACTTGTTAAACCGGTAAAAATGAATTATAGAGAAATTCAAATTCAGACAGAAGAAATAAATAGTGAAGTTGTTTCAAAATTGGATCGTAAGGTTACAGAAAGAAAGCCAGTTTTCACACAATCACCCTTAATTTATCCAGTAGCCGTACAGCAGCTACCTGATGAAGAGAATGAACAAAATACTTGGGTTCCAGTTGAAATGTTAGACTTACGAAGATTTAAGGAGGCAATAGCATCTTATGGCATGCACTCCCCATATGTAAAGCAAATGTTAAACACCTGGTCAACTTGTAATAGGATTATACCAAAGGACTGGCGGGAATTGGCACAGGCTGTTCTTGAACCCGGACAAAATCTCCAGTGGAAAATGTGGTTCAGTAATGAGGCTAAAAATATAGAAAGACAATGGAGGGATAGCGGAATACAAGTCTGCCAGGATCAGCTTATTGGCGAAGGCCAATATGCTTCAGTACAAACACAATGTTCATATGATGTCCAAACCCTACTTCTATGTAAAACGGCAGCTTTGAATGCATGGGACAGAGTTGAAGAACCAGGAAAAAAAACTGAGTCATTTACAAAGGTTATACAGGGCCCCAAAGAATCTTTCACAGACTTCTTACAAAGATTGACTTCAGCAGTACAAAAAATGGTCCCGAATTCACAGGCTAGTCAGATAATAATTGAATCTTTAGCCTTTGAGAATGCAAATGCAGCGTGCAAAAGAATAATTAGGCCGTTAAAGGCAAGATCTGCACCTTTGGAAGATTGGATTAGAGATACAGTTAATGTCGAGGCTTATGACCATGATGATATGTGGGTAGGAAAAGCAATTTCAAAAGGTTTGAGCAATGTTAGATGTTTTGGATGTGGAAAGCAAGGACATTTGAAAAGGGATTGTAAACAGGTCATTCCTAGAAATAATGTTTCTTCAAGGAATACTGGCAACAGAATGCCCCTTCCTTCTGGAGTATGCAGAAGGTGTGGTAAGGGAAAACACTGGACCAACGAATGTAGATCAACAAGGGACAGACAGGGTAACCCTCTGCCTCGAGCTTCGGGAAACTCCCAGAGGGGCCTCAGGCAGGCCCCCACAGTAAATCCAGTTCAAACCTTTCCTGCAGTTGTAGAGGAAACCCCTACTCAAAGCAACTAAATAACCAAATGTCTATTGGAATAAATCATGTTAGTCGAGATGATGAAACAGAGAAAATAGGAAATACAGGAAAAAACATAAAGAAAATTTTTTGGCAAACTTCTATTAATGAACAAAGACCAAAACTAACAATAAAAATAAATGGTGTTTTGTTGTCTGGTCTGGTAGACACAGGTGCTGACATTACCATAATTGCACCAGAATTTTGGCATCCAACTTGGCCTCTTCAGGAGGTAAACATTCAACTCTTAGGAATTGGGACATTATCTAGAGTGAAACAAAGTGTAAGATGGCTTGAATGTATAGGTCCAGAAGGACAGAAAGGAAAATTAAAACCATATATGGCTAACATAGCTATGAACCTGTGGGGTCGAGACTTGTTACAACAGTGGAATACTCAGATTAATATCCCTCCAATCTCAGAAACAAATCATAAATTAGTACATGTTTCTGAGAGAAATATTAAAAGATATTATTCTAATGAGTGCTCACCAGCCATCCATGTCATACAAGAACAGGGCACAACAACTGATAATCTTCCAAAAACATTAACAGCTCTACCTTTAAAATGGTCAACAGACAAGCCTGTATGGGTTCAGCAATGGCCTTTAACAACAGAGAAACTCCAGGCTTTACAAGAGCTGGTGGAAGAACAGTTAAATGCTCATCATATTGAAGAATCAACCAGCCCTTGGAATTCTCCTGTATTTGTTATAAAAAAAAAATCTGGTAAATGGAGAATGGTAACAGACCTTAGAGCAATTAACAAAGTAATTCAGCCAATGGGCTCTTTACAATCTGGAATTCCTTTACCTACTCTGTTACCAAAAGGCTGGCCTCTCATAGTTATTGATTTAAAAGACTGTTTCTTTTCAATACCCTTACAAGAAAAAGACAGAAAGATTTGCTTTCACAGTGCCTACTTATAATAATTCTCAACCGGTTAAAAGATTTCAATGGAGGGTTCTCCCACAGGGAATGTTGAATAGCCCAACTTTGTGCCAATATTTTGTAAAACAGCCATTAGAAGTGGTACGTAAAAAATTTCCTAAATCTATAATTTATCATTATATGGATGACATTTTATTAGCTGATTCAAATGCAGATACTTTAGAAAGAATGTTTGAAAAAGTAAAGAAAATTTTGCCTTGCTGGGGATTACAAATTGCTTTAGAAAAGGTACAAAGAGGAGATTCTATTAATTATTTAGGATATAAAATAGAACTTCAAAAAATTAGACCTCAAAAAGTGCAAATTAGGAGAGATCGACTACAGACTCTTAATGACTTTCAAAGATTATTTGGAGACATTTCTCATCTAAGAACTATTGTTGGGGTAAAAAATGATGAACTGAATAATTTGTTTAAAACCTTAGAAGGTGATAAGGACTTAAATAGTCCAAGAGAATTATCACCTGAAGCTGAGAAAGAATTGGCCTTGGTAGAAAAGAAAGTACATGAAGGGCACGTAGATCGTATTGATCCAAAGCTGGATTGCATTTTGGTTATTTTACCTTCTAGGCATTCCCCAACAGGAATATTAATGCAAAGGGAAGATATTATATTGGAATGGATATTTTTACCAAATAAACCAAATAAAAAATTAAAAACTTATGTGGAAAAAATCTCTGACTTGATTTGGAAAGGAAAATTGAGACTTCGTCAATTAGCAGGAATAGACCCAGCAGAAATTGTCGTACCTTTAACTAAGGAGGACATTGAAAAATTATGGATAGAAAATGAAGCTTGGCAAAAAGCTTGTAGTAATTTTTTGGGAGAAATTAACAGCAAATATCCCAAAAGCAATAGAATTGATCTTATAAAGAGAGCTGATTGGATCTTGCCTCAAATTGTGAGGAAAAAACCCATATCTGGAGTTCGTACATTTTATACAGATGCCAACAAACAAGGAAAGGCAGGTTATAAATCAGAAAATTTAAGTAAAGTGGTTCAAAGTCCTTATAATTCAGTTCAAAAATCAGAATTGTATGCTATTCTGTTGGTATTAATGGATTTTTCAGAACCTCTCAATATAGTAATTGACTCTCAGTATGCTGAAAGAGTAGTATTACATATTGAGACTGCAGAATTTATCCACGATGCTTCAGAATTAACTTCATTATTTATTCAATTACAAGATACAATCAGAAAACGGAGTCATCCTTTATATATAACTCACATCCGATCCCATACTGGTCTGCCAGGCCCTCTAGCACAAGGCAATGATGAGATTGATAAATTATTGATAGGAAATGTGCTGGAGGCCTCAGAATTTCATAAAAAACATCATGTAAATAGTAAAGGTTTAAAAAAGGATTTTTCCATAACCTGGCAACAAGCCAAAGAAATAGTAAAGAAATGTCCTACTTGTTCCTTCTACAATCAAACACCATTACCAGCAGGATGTAACCCAAAGGGTACTCAGAGGAATGAAATCTGGCAGATGGACGTGTTTCACTTTGCAGAATTTGGAAAAC